TGTGTCCGGATGCGCGAACCTCTTTGTACTTCTTGTTATTGCTGTATTGTCTCTGGCATGAAATGCGTACGCCTTCCAGGTTGTTGCTTAATGTTCTGCACTAGGGGTTCGAATATGCGACTACACTGTTGCCCCGGGACAGTTGATTTGGGAATTGTTGCATCTTATAACGCAGTCCGCACGACTCGCTTAAGTGAATTGAGGCTGAGATGTGTGCGCATTGAGCGACAGTGACGCTGACGGTGTCAGTAATAGACTTGCCATAAACAGTAGCTTGTTGTTGTAAGCGTAATTTTATTTTTATGTACTTACTGTGCTCCACTCAAAAAGTAATGAAGCAAAAATTGTGAAATTTTAAAGTTACATTGAAGTATACATGAGGAGGCTTCGTCAAGAGCCCAAAGAGTCCCCAAGCGATTGTCGAAAAGCTGAAAGCTGAAGTTGATAGCGTCTTAGCGCGTCAAAAACAGAGCGCGAGTGCATCTTCGGTTGGCCTTCAGCGCGTCCGCTGTTGTCTACATCGCGGCCGTTGTTGGTTGAGTGGAATGTCTTGTCTCGAGTTGATTGATGTTGTCTGACAGACGGACAGATATGGCAAGGCAGGTCGCAGACGAAGTCGCAATCGCAATCGCAGACGGTCAAACGTGCTCGACGACAAAGCGAAATGATAATAAACGACTGTGGGCTGCTTGCTGGACGGGGTAGGGGGGAAGTGAAGTGATGTGAATGGAACCGGTCCGAGTAAAGTGACAATGACTGAAGCGATATGGACGCGCCTTTCTTGAAGCATTGCAATCAATCGGAATAAATGTATTTCTCAGGCTTCGAGTTAATTTAAATTTATTGTAAGTGATAAAGTGGCTTTTTTGCACAACAACAAAATTTTATACATATTGAATCCATAAAATGTAGGGTGAGGAGTGGCAACTGACCTTAATTAATCGAGAGATGTAGTATATTGGGGATAAGCCGCATATACTGTTTAATAATGTCACCTCTTTTGGGGTTTTCTTAGTCCCCTCTTGCTGAAATCACGATTTTTTTTTCAACACCAACGATACCATTTTTATTGATTAACAAAGGTGTCTGCATTATCTACCTTTTTGAAAGAAATCTCTAACTATCTGCTTGGACTTGTATATCCATTTACTAATCAATGTAAGAATTTCACGTCTTTTCGCCTTGGATAAGATCAACGAATTGTAAGTTCTTCAGCTTTGTCTTAGAACTTTTTCGACTGGCGAAATTCATTGTCTGACAGTAAAAAAGCTCGAATTCGTAAAGATTTGACTGTAAATTCGAAAATTATACTTCGGTGGAACTGCGTTCCTATATTTCGATGCTGACTTGCATTCAGAGCAATCCTTTACGTTAGGAGCTTCGAACGAGCACTTTGAGCTTTATGAGGAAACGTATACGAAGTCGTGGCTTTGTTTTAAACTTGGTCTAAGGTTTTCAAAGTTCTAACATATTTAAAAAAACATGATGCAATTTCTCTGTCCGAATTCCTGGTAAAGGTTGGTAGGATTTAAGGGTTCTTAAACTGCGATGGTCCACATTGCTATCTACAGTATAATTATGGTAGATTATTATAAGCCCTCTTCTAATACCGTCTAAGTTCTTTACAAATCATTGGCCAATACAAAAGAAAAAAGCTGATTCCTAAATTTAACGATAGATTTCCACAAATAGGCCCACTGTACCTATTAAAAAATTAAGCATCAAAGCGCTTATCAACACTTAAATATTATCACAGTAGCACATTTAAGTCATGATTATCGTTAATAGCATGCCTAGCACATTCAATTAGAGCAACAAGAACAATTTATTTGCACACACACACACCCGACCAGACAAAGTTTCTACATTGCGGCCTTGGCCCTTAACCGCTGCTTGCCGTGTCGTAGACAATGATGTGCTCGTATCGATTGCAACAACCACAACGTTAAATGAAGTGCAATTATTAATTTTATTAAAAGCTGTCATGGCCATTTTTCGTTACCACAGCCTCCATAATTAAGTATCCACTCGACCATGGTGGAGAAGGGGAGGCAAATGAGCCAGGCTACGGACAACACAGAGATGCTATACACACATGCCTGGATTGTGAGACGGGCTTAGAGGTCTGCAATTGCTGGTGAACTATATTTATTGTAATTGAATACTAATCAAAGGCGGCGGCGAACTACAAATAATCATATATTTACACAGACAAATTCACAATGTGGCATTTAATCAGTAAGGACGAAAGTGAGCTCTCCAATTGATCGATCTATATTTAATGCGGCTTGATTGTTGACTGCAACACACTTTGCAATTATTTCTGCAGTAATTTTATATATTTCTTTGTTTTTTCCTCAAAGGTAATTGCTGTAAGTCATTAAAGTGCTTTTGTAGGATACAACGATAGCTTACTTAATGTGATATTATGTAATAAACAGAAGAAGCATCATGGTAAAATACATAGAATGTTTGGTTTGGTTCACGGAACGGTTGTTTGTATCACCTTGGACTAATCGAGATAGATATAGGGTTATGTATATATAAATGATCTGGATGTCGAGACAAGTTGAAATTCGAGTGACTGTCTGTCCGTCCGTCCGTCTGTACAAGCTGTTATCTAAGTAAAAATTGAAATATCGTAATGAAACTTGGTACACGTGTTGTTAAAAAAAAGTAAGGAAAACTTCGTAGACGAGCGTTATCGGAACAGTGTCACGCCCACAAAATGCCATTAATTGAAAACCTATAAATTGTCATAACTAAGCATTAAATTAAAATATAGAACCGTAATTTGGTACAAGGGATCATAGCAGTAAGGGCACCTGTGGGCCCCTCTAAAAGGTTTAATTGACATATCTCCAAAATCATTTAAACTAAAATAACCAAAGTCGCTCAGAACAAATCCCTTAACGCCTACCGACACTGTAAAAATGGTTGAAACCTGATGATAGCCCCGCCGACTCCCCATATAACGTTATTGTTAAAAACTACTTAAAGCGCGATAAATAAACAACTAAATACGTCAGAGACATTAAATTTTACCACTGAGATGTTATGATAGGAGTCGAAGATGAAAGATGGGCGTGGCACCGCTACTTTTAGGGGAAATCACATATCTCGCGCCTGCTTGACTGATTTCAACAAATTAAAATGATTTCCGTCTTTTCACCAGTCTTTTAGTCCGTTGAGGTTGGTCAAAATATGTGATATTTTAATGAAATTAAGTGAACAAATTTTCTTTAAAACTATTTGGTTTAGCACTGAATTACAATGGATTAGGTCAATAACTTGGTCTAAACCTCATATCCCTAATATAATGAAATCCGATCCACTGGTTGTTGACTCAGTATATAATATATTACCCGTCTGGGCCGCTTCCCCGAGCTTTGACCACGACCGTTTGCGCTCGTCGTAAGTCGTCGTAAGTGACCCTTTTCATCGCCAGTCACAATCCGCTTCAGAAACGGGTCGATTTTGTTGCGATTCAGCAGCGATTCGCAGATGCAAATTCGGTCCATCATGTTTTTTTGTGTTAGTTCGTGTGGCACCCAAACAGCGAGCTTCTTTTTGAATCCAAGGTTATGCAAATGGTTCCAAACGGTTTTTGGCTTATCTTTAGTCCCTCAGCAATTAAATAAATGCTCCCGTGACGGTCTGTTTCCACTATTTCCATGATTTGATCGCAATTTTCGACGACGGGCCTCCCGACGCGTTTGACATCAAAACTACCAGAACGGAACCTAGCAAACCACTTTTGTGCTATACGTTCGTTTACAGTATCGGGCCTTTAAACTAAATTAATTTTTTCAGCCGCTTTGGCTGCTTTTTCGCCTTGATCGAAGAAAAATGTAGCGAATTTTCTCTTTGGTGTCCATCTTTGACGAGTGCTCACAACGTACTGAGTCAATCAATCGAAAAACTGTCAAAGACAAACTTCTAGCGCGAATAAACACGTTTTCAGCGCCGCGATGCGCCACGTAACACTAGTACTATGGACAATGACGCCATCTCTTAGATAAAAACCGAACGAGCTTTTTACTTGGCCTAATATTTAATCTAACCCCTTCGGTCGAGTTGATATATGCATGTACCATTTAAAGATGTGTTTAATAAAATTTAAGCTGACACGAACTAAAATATAGCAATAAAACTGAGTTTAAGATAATGGCCTTCAATATAAGTGAAATTTTATTGTAATTTTTTAGTTCAAAATTTTGTCAGCATTTAAACGAATTTTTCGGGTTTTGATTCTTGCAAGTTGCAAGAGTATAAAACGTGCGGTTACACTTAGCCCGTCCTTAAATGTTCTAATTTAAGTTTATAGAGCAGCTTTGGAGTTTGTAATATTTTGAAAACTTAATCTTTTCAGCTTCAAAGCTTTCAAATATTTTTGAGAATTAAAGGCAATACTAGGTATTAGTGAAAATCTTTCAAAGATGACTAAAATCAAATATTAAAAAAAAACTAAATTAACCATATAAATTACAACGGCAACTTTGTTTAAACAGAATTTCGGAAGCTGTGGCAATTTCTAATATTTATATTGTAGTAAGCCCGTTGATGATGTTAAATAAATTTGGATTCTAAAATGTAATTCCTCAAACTTTTTCTATAAATATTTCTAGCATTTTTCGCAGTCTTATCGTGATTGTGCTTCAGAAAAAGCAGAGAAATGAAATATAACAAAGAAGGTTTTTACTTTATTGAAGAAAGCTTCTATATGCGGAAAAAATTGTTGATATCTGTCCATAAAAAATTTGTAAAGTCAATAACAAAACAACAAAGAGCTTTCGTATTACCGACTATGAAAAAATAATTTAAAATAGTTTTGTGTATAGAGGTTTGCTTAAATGTGTAATTTATGAAAGCTTTTAATTTTTATTTAAATATCTACGCTTCAAGCTTTTTAAATGCTTTGTTAAAATTTTTGATAAAATTATTAATTTTATAGGAAGAATTGAGTTAATAAAAAATACAAATTTATCAAAAAGTTTTGTGGTGTTTGTGGTCTTAACTAATAAATTTTGACTTTAATTAAAGAGAAATATCTATGAAAGCTTCTAAAGATAGCTAAAAAGAATATGCATATTTTATAAAAATTTTGAAGAAAATGTTCTCAGCTTTTACTGTAGTAAGTATTTTTCCAGTCCCCCAATAGTTTTCGTATTGTATTTTAAATTTATTTACTTAAATAAATGTAACGGTTTTTAAGACCTTCCTGGAACAATATGTCAACGTTTTTGCAATGATAAGAAAGACTGCACATGCTTTGGATTCGAATTTTAATATGTGCTCAGAGCTTATGTTAACATGCATGATTTCCATCTCGTGTTCCAAATATAAAGCATGAAAAAAGCGACTAAAAGTACTAAATTATCGCAAGCGCTTCACAGCACTTGAAGAGGTTACACTTCTCTCGCTTCATTTTAAATAATCACATTTCTTACAGCGCACTGACCATAAGGTCGTAAAACACGTCTGGACTAGGGTATATCCGTTGAGAATGGAAAAAATCGACTGCGATTGGGCGGTTGATTCGTTTGGCTTTTGCGGTACGTCTGGACTGGTTTGGTTTTTGGATGGTGCGGTTAGCTTATGTATTTCTTTTTTGGCAACAACAGCTTAACGCAAAGTACTACAGCTCATCATTGAGCAGCAGTGGCCAGCAACGACCAACAACCAACAGCAAAATGCGGACAGACACGCTGGAAGGTAGAAGTATAGCAGCGCAGACAGGCGAAGAGGCATACAGACCGATAGCAGACAAAAAGCTCTGAGGAGCCACATATTACTGCGCACACAAATTCGCTCGCATATGCAAAATGCACACGAGTTTATTCATACGGATTCAGACATCCTGTCCATAACTTCTACGCTGTCAAAATGTCACAGGCGGCGAAGACGCGATGCCGACAAGGACGTAATGCGGACCACAAACCAAGCAGCGGCCACAGCAGCATTTGCTTGCAGTTTTCAAGCTGTATGTATGTGTATTCGAGTCCAAATCAACCACTGCACAGCACTTCACACGACGCGCTGAGACATCATATGCTCGCCCAGTCAGCAAGAAGCAGCCGGCGGCCAGATGCCAGCGCAACGGGCAGTCTGCCCTACCAAACGGTCTGCGGTATGGTCTAGCGGGTGAGTCCATGTGCAAGATGTACATCCAACTGAAGCTGCGGACGGAACGAACAAAAGTGCAATGCAAGAGATGGAAACAGATGAAAAAGTAAAGCACAATGCAAGAAAAAAGTTACTTCTGGGTATTGTGGGCAGTGCAAAAGCGCAACGAGAGCGTTGAAGAAATCAAACTGCGGCTGCACATCCGAGCGACAGCAACTGCTGAGTTGCAATTGAAGTTGGAGCCTGTGATGCTGAAAGAAACTGCAAATGCACATAAATTCCAATGTAATCACACACGACATCCATCCCGGTTGACTGTGTGTGGATGTATGCTTGCATTACTGTGAGCATTTTATTGCGATTGGGATGCGTTTGCTGCACACTTAAAGCAGCAACAACAACTCCAGTGCCTATTCAACATTTCAATGTCCACTTGCATTTGCATTGAGCCCATATAAGCCAATCCAAGCGCGCTGGTCGCTTTATTCACATGGACATGCACACATACAAACATGTAGAAAAACAAGGAGTACTTCATGATTACAACCATATGTATGTCTGTTCATCTGTCTGCCAGCTTTCCACAATTACAATCGGATCGCTTAAGCGTTTTGGTTTGGCGAAATTGCCAAAAGAGCTTTTTGTGCTTTCGTTATTGGATTTAATAAAGATACACCAAGCGGCGTTCCAAAATCGTCCAACTGATAAATCCGCTTTCAGAGTTTGTTGTATTTACCGCCTAACCATTATGCATTCTTTCGCTTCATCACTCGTGCTGTAAATAATTGGCCTCATTGGAGCGCATTCGTGAGCTTTTAAATTACATGTGAAATTTTACATACCATAAATTGAAGTGAAAATAAATCACTTTGGCGAAAATATCTTTTTAATTTTTCTGTTTCACTATGTGACCATATGCTTGCATTTGAAGTGTAAGCTCATCAAAGGGTTTTAAGCGGGTACACGGGTTTCGCGGCTTCAAAAAAAAAATTATTTTTATTGCCTTATTTAATTCTATAACATCTCAAGAATATTGTCCCAAATTCTCAAGTTGATATCAGTAATAGTTTTGGAGATACAGCTTTGAAAATTTGCGCGCTCGAAACTGTGCTTTCAAAGTCGGTTGTCAAGATTTCTTGCGAACTACTCAACCGATCTTAATGAAATTTTACACAGGTCTTTGAGATATAATTTACAAGGTCTTGCCGTGGATAACTTTTTTTTTTGTTCAATTACAACTATTTAAAAAAAAGAAATGTCGAGTAAATTTGACCGAAATTTTCATTTTGTTGGAAAAGGGTCTGCCAAAATTCCAATTTAAACTTTTTTTTCTGTCAATCGATACAATTTTTTTCCAAGATTGCTAAAACATTTTTTTATGTTCGTGTGAAGTTTGATCTCCATGTGTCAATTAGTGAGTGTATGACAGCTCTTAACTTACATCGCGAACAGTTCGGCGATTTTTTACGGCAACGGACAAGTTGAAAATGTTGCGGAATTGTTTTGGGTATTGTAGCATTCGGTGAAGGTCGCGAAGTAATCGAAAAATTGTCTCATGCAAGTCCTGCATCCACCTCTGTTAATGACGATAACATCGAAAAAGTTAAAGAAGCAGAGATTTTCGAGTTGTGTGCATCAGAGAGATAGCAGAGGATCTCAACAACTCATGTATTTGGGTATGAAGTGTGTCAATGCTAGATTCGAACCAAAAGACCAGAATCTTTTGCAAAAACGACGTCAAGTAGAGGTCACAGAAAAGATGCTTGAAATAGTAGCTGAGGATCCTACATGCATTAAATGCATAATTACTGGTGACGAGACGATGTGGGCTTATGAATATGACGTTGTTACTGTCCAACAATCTCCATTTCCATTTTAGTTAGATGTCAGGTCATTTAATCCATCAGAAAAGAACAAGCGACAGAATCTGCTTAATTATTAAAAAATACTAATACACATTTTTTTATTGGTTTTTTCATTTTTCTTTCTCTATCTCTGTCTCTCTTTCCCTAGTATATGAGCTCTTAATAATCATCGAGACATAAAAATGTAAAAACTTATTTCATAATAGTAAACGAACATCATCACCAATATTGAAACTTGTTTCATCTTCATCAATTTCACTCGCAAAATTTTGTGCTCTTTTTACAACACTTTGTACACTTCCTCTCTCTAACACCGAAAAGGCTCAAATCATGTTCACGTCAGACCGCGTAGTTAAAGTCTACATTACGTTAAAATACTTTTGAGAAACGAGTCAAAAATCCTGCACATAAAAACTTTCGAAACTAATTAAAAACGCTTAGTGAAATTTCCAAATAAAAGGGGGAAAACAAAAACAACTCGAAAGAAATCTCAATTAAATGCGCCACGAAGTGCTGTGCGCCTAAAAGCCGGTTTCAGGAAAGGTTGCTCACGAGACAGGCAGTGTGAAAGCAACTCACATACTTATGAAATAATCATCGACATACACACATATCCAAACAAACAAGCATCCTTAGCCATTTTGTCTTCGGAAGGGGAAGGCCATTATATGAACATAAATATATTTATATGCTGAAAATGCATTTCTGGGAATGAGTCACACAAAATGAAGTGAATATCGTTATTGTTGTTGTTAAGTGAGTAAAAAAGCTAAAATTTTATGAAGGATATAAAAGTTTACACCAACTCTTGCCAAACTTTTAACTCGGTATAACTTTGCAGACGTCTAAGGCAAGCGACTGCACATACAGCACACGCGCACAAACGAACGAACGAATGGGTAAACAATCGAGGACGCACACTGCTGCTTAGTATTTCCCGCGCGGGCGTGAATGCGTGTCTGCCGATTGCGTGGGCGGTTAGCACTTCGGTCCCGCAAAGTTTCTCGTTGAGTTTGGCTGGCTGAATTGGGCCTTCGGCCTTTTTGTCTTTCGGTCTCTTGGTTGATTTGTTTGGCGGCAGCCTCCGTTCAGTCTGGCGACGTGTAAATGCTCATTGCACATTGCTGAGTTTACTGATTTTAAATAATTTATGAAAGCTTGTCGGCGATGCTCGAATAACTACGACGGACTAAGCGACTGTTGAGCTGTGGGCTGGCTAACGGTCAGCTTTCTTATTGAGTTGTAAGCCAAATTGGCAGTGCAAGCGTGGACGTGGAGGATAGTGTAACTTTTGCAATGCAGCACATTTTTGACCTTCAAATATTTGTGAGCTGCTTTCCGTTCATTAAGGACGGGGTGTGAAAACGTTTGCTGTTGAGCTTATGAAGATTACTTTTGACAAAAAAAACAAACACACATTAAACAACATTTTTATTTATCGCCATTTTTCATATTTTTGCACTCGATCATCAGTAAAGTTCCTAAACCCCACCAGTGTGATTACAGGTAGTATCACGATAAATGTAGCGCAATATTTTATCTCTCGAATCACAAATTTTTACCATAGTGACAACGAGTTGTCCATATTTTTCCAAATTGACACTCGTTCACATAAGAGTCTTTATTGCGGCCAAAAAGTGAGAATGCTTGAAAACAGCATATGGTTTTAGCGACATCTACAGCCGACGGGATACTTGGAAAGGCTTTCGATCGTTAATCTTTTACAAAGATAATTTAAGGGAACTCAAACTTCTAAAATCTTCTTAAAAATTAAAAATGTCTCATTAGAGAGTCGCCTAGAACAAGTAAACTTCATTTTTTTAAGGTAAAAATTATCAATTTATTTTTTGATTTCTTTAAATAAAAATCTGCTCTTGAAAATGCCTTCAAGCATAAAGTACGTAGATATAATATTTAGAAGAGTGAAGTATGTAAACATATAGTCATTTTGCTTTGCAATTAATTTTATACTTCGGTCGCCGAAATCCCATGGCTAAACACACATATTTAGAGTTGATTTTTTCTCATCTGTTATTTTTTCTAACACCTCAGATTCGTTACCTCACGCACCGGCGTCGAATTAATTATGGTATTAGCCAAACTGAAATTTAAATAAATCATAACCGTTCATTAGCTGTGGCATCAACCGTAAGCACAAAAAAATAATACACCAAGTAAGCAAATATTAATAAAAAATATAATAAAAAATTTTAGTAAATTCATTACGAAACTTTTCGAGATAATTTTTCTGGAATTATTTACGTGAGCAATATACATATGAAGCAATAAGAGAACAGTGATTTATTTAAATTTCCCGTGACTGAGTGCAAATAACTTTCCTTATGAGAACACATTCTTATTGAAAACTGTGTTGCTGCTCTGAATTGAATTGAAAAGAAAAGTATGTAAAGTATTAGTTGAGTACTGGTGAATTGAATAGGGTTATCGCATTATAACCTATGTAAGTTAGAGAATGTCGTGCTTTTGCGAAGGTATCAAGGAATTGTTTAGATATGTTCCACCTGTCACTGCCAACTTAAACCTCGTCTAATAAAACCCATCGTGTTTTTTCACTTTATTTTTAATTATTTAAAAAGCCATGATAATATAAGTTCCATTGGGTCTTTACTATCTTCTCCTCCTCAATTCGACAAATTTTCAGTTTATCAGCTTCATTCGCGCACACTTCAATTCCTTCGTGTAACTTTGCATTGTAAATTTACATATTGTCCTTGCAGCAGTGAGCGGCGTCAATAATAAAGATCAGATAAGTTGAAACTGCTAATATCGAAGTCAGCATGTGAGCTTTTGTGTGTATACATGTATGACACCTAATCTTCATGTAGTCTGCCTAACGGTTCTTTTTCGTCCATCCACATTTGCTTGTCTGTCCCATTGACTAGTGATGGTCATAACTCAACACATGTTCACACATAACTGGAGACATACGTAAGTATGTACTTAGATACTTATGAAAAGACTAGTTTATTTGGCATGTGCATTAGAGACGCCTCTTCATCGGCAAACAAAGTAGATAGCGTAATCAACGACATACATACATATGTACATGGCAAGCAGATACGCCAGACAGATATGCCACAAACATATTGCAATCTCGCTCGCATCATAAAAAAACACCCACTAGTACCCAGCGCCGCACAGTAGTTCGCGTTTCACACCCTCCGCCGCTTGCATTGGTTGAGCGCCGCCATTGTAGTCACTCGAACGCCTGCCGTAATTCACGTTAGCAAATTTACTTCAACCAATTTCGCATTCGATTTGATTTGATAGGAGAAAAGAATAGCGTAACCCGTTCCGCAACTGTCTGGCTGCCGCCACGAATTCGTTCGCCCGCCACAGCATGTACGCAGAATGCAAGCAACCTTTCAGACACCGTCTAACGTTCCCACCCCTGAGCACACCCACTCAACCGCCGACAGTCACGCATGCAGAGAGACGCACACAAACGCATCTCCATCGAGCATTTCGCATTTCACTCTCCGCCCCTCCGGAGCTCACGTTTATTGCGTCTGTGCATCCACCGGCGGCGCAACATCGTAAAATTTCATTTCACGAGTTTACGTCTGGCCCGGCGTCACTGCACCCCACCATAGCCCAGTTTGACTTTGGCTGGACTCATTTTTCAAGGTTATGTCGAAGCCGGCATCGCAGCCAGCGCCATTTCCATCAGCTGGTCGTGCTGCCATCGTCATCGGCACTTAATCGCCACAATGTCGGGGCTTGGAGAAGAGCGGTGCATATCTAGCAGCTGATGCATTGCTTTTCGCACGACTGTCGCTTAAGGGTGCAATTCTGCCACAATTGACAGCGACAGCCCAGCCTTACGCCAATGGGGTCCAAGTGTCTAGCGCGTATTTAACTGTTGTATGTCTGTCATTTAACTTCTTCACTTGCGCTATGTATGACCTCATCCCTTCGTTGTCTGCATATCTACAGGTCCCTTTGTCATCTGTCTACTGTTGTGTTGTTATTGTTGTTAATGGGTATGCCAGACAGTTGATTTGTCTGAATATCGGTCGGTATGTTTGCGGCTAATGTAATCAGCCGTTACTAGAAAGAATTTGCATCACAACAACAATTAAAAAAAAAAGTTTAAATATTGTGCGTTCTGAAGTCTCTAAGGAAGTCCAGTAAACAGTAAAAATCTTAGTGATTTAAAGTGGGGTTAAAACCTGAAAATTTTATATAACAAACTGTATCGAAAGGATTAAATTTGATTGTTCGACGACATTGGGTTTACAATCAAATTTGGAATCATAACTTAACTTATTTTGAAGCTCAAACACTCACTTAGTTTTATTACTATATTTTACTTCCCGTCATCCTCAAATAAGATGAATGCCATATAACCTCAATCGAAGAAGTAAAATTTACCTCAGATACTATCACCATTATATAAGGAGT